ATAAAGGGATACAAGTGGTTCTGCAAATTCATCTTTTAGATACAAAGCAAGTATTATCTCCTAGTGCATAGGGAGAAAATAACATCCTGGAGCTCTAAAAAGAATAACCTTTTGTTGATAAAAGATGGCAAATGTTTGAATGTTCACGGGTGTGCATATCACAACTCAGAGAGGATATTTAAAACACATACACAATTCAAACAGACATATATAACTGAAATACCAATGCCTTCTATTAGCTTTCAAAGGCAGACTAACATGTGCCCACAAATGGCAACCCAGCAGGCAGTGACATCAGTCCTAGAAATGATGTGGCCTGTATAGTGTGCAGTGAAGTGCAGTGCTCTACTTGTTTGCAATGGTTTTATTTTTCGACTAGTTTTTATCACACTTGGCATGAACAAGGGAACATGTGCTTTGCTAAATTTGAACTTTTAAGATGAAACTGAATTAACTGAGAACCAAAAAATTGCTTCTGAATTTTCCTAAGATTGAAAAATGCCTTCCCTCTCATACTAGGAATGGCAAAATAAATGACAAATACATCTTGAAAGTTTAAATGTGAGCTAGGAAGACCCTGAGGTTTGAGAACAACATTGTTGGCTTTCTTCTTTTTTTAGACACCTGAAATAAGACTGTAATGTAAAGGCTTTTTACCCACAGAGTACCCTTTTGCTAACATGAAGAGATGTATGAAATCTAAACCTAAAGAAACCTAATAGAAGTGTTAAACCTAATATAAGCACGATTTGTTTTCTTTTTCAATCAGAAAGTTTAATTTGCCATTTCTTAGTAACCATCAAAACATAGTCAACTCTTGCTCCAAAATTTAATCTTACATATTTTTTCTACTAATGTTGGAACAAAATAACTATATTGACTAAACCAACCAGACACATATCCTTAGAGATGCCCTCCCCTCCTAAACTTCCTCTTCTTTCTCATAAAAGGTATGCCAGGGTACCCAAATATAAATACTTTGCATTAAAATGAATGCCCTGTCATGTAAATATTTTTAAGGATTTGAATTCAAAATAATTTTAATACACAATCCAAGTTCTAAATTGTTGGGTATATTTATAAGGAATCTAGTGATAAGTAATAGGTCAAACAACCTCTAAGAATCAGATTGTAGTACAAGCTTCATTGCATTAATAATGTCACAGTTAGTATGTTTATTAAATTAAATATTACCAGCAAGGGTCTTCTGAATCCCGTGTTCCTAATACTAGGTTACATATTTATTTCAGAGTTAGCATAGTAAGAGGGGGAGCTATCACTAGAAGGTCTATTAAGCCATGTGTTTTTTTCATTGCTTTAACAGAACTATTTAAATCAAATTTTTCACGACATGCCTTGAACACCACTGCAAACCATACTGTGGGTGTAAAATACAGGCAAGGAAGATATAATCAGCTCAGATGAGACCAGTGATTTGCACACCATCAAGTTTACTTTATTGTGAAAGCAATGGGGTTTTTTTTCAAGTGAATATATTTTTTAATGTGTGGCAACCTAACATACAAACTTATGGGAACCAGGAAAACACACAAATCTCAGAGCAACTAAATTCAACCAAGTAAAATGCAATGCCTAAAATTTTGCCTACTCTTCTCTGAGAGGCTCTTATTTTGTTCTGGTAAAAGAAAACCCGACTGTCCAAAAGTAAATCTTGTTGCACTCAGACTCTAACTTCAATAAGTCACACATATCCAACTTCCTTAAAAAGTCTCAGTTACGTTTTTAAAAATTGATTTTACTGATGTTAGGCTAAAATATTACTCTTTCAAACATCAAAATTAGCCAAGCAATCGCCAACATGCCAGGGTAAATTAAATATGTTTAAAATTGATCACTAGCTTTAAAGTTGCTATTTCATAAGCACATTTGTCTAAAAATAATAACTGTTGCTGTTTCTTTCATAAGTTTGTTTTCATACAAAAGCATGGGTTCTACGTTTTTTCCAGTCTTATGACCCAAATGCCTAGTTGATAAATTAACTGATATATGCACACACAAAAGGTGCTGCACCAGATAGGACAGGCCAAACATTTTATAAATATCACTTAATGAACACATAGGTTGTCCAGGTATCTACGAAGCATTTTAAAATCGGGGAATATAAACGGCCTCTATTCAATGAAACTTTTGTTCCAAACCTGCATCTTAAGCAGAAAGTAGAGCATCCTTTAAAGCCTCAGTGCTAAAAAAAAATTAATACTCAATACCACCCCCAAAAAAGGTTAAGTCACAAAGAGTTGTAGCAGTGAGATTTATAAGAAAATGTTTACTGCAGGGGATAAAATGTTCAGAAAGTTCTCCATAGGCCTTAAATTACTACATTTTAAAAGCTCCAGTGATGTAAGTCGGTCCTAAAAAGACAGAAACAACCTGATTTTTGAAACAAACTGTTCAGTAAGTTTCTGCTAGTCCGAAACAGGATTCCACGTCCTAAATGCTATTCAGCTGCCAGGCCTGGCTCTGAAAGAGCAGCGGGTAGAGGCTGCGGGCTTAGGCCAGAGACGTGGACACGGCCCTTCTCCCCCCCGATACTGGGGTTGGGGGGGTGGTGGGTCGGGGGTACTCAGAGACTGCCTGGACCCCGGCTGAGACCCGCAGGCTGAATTGGGCCTGGACTTCCAGTCGCGCCTCACAGCCTGCTTCTCAGCCTGGACCTCTGACCTGGATCCCCGGCTGGGACAGCCCGGGGGCCCCAGCCCGCCAGACGACAAAGCAGGAGAGCCCCGGCCCAGGCCTCAGGAGCGGCCCCGCACCTGGGGGAGCTCCCAAACGCCCGTCCCAGCTGCTCTGAGCTCGGGTGCACCAGGGCCAAGCTGCAGCCTCGCCGCAGTGCGCTTTGTTCCCGCCTCCGTCTACCCCGACGGGCGGCGTCCACCTGGAAGGTTAAGAACCCAGGCCGCAGCGTCTCTCGGCCCAAGCAGCACCCGCCGCCCGCACGCTCAACCCCGGGGGACACTGAAAAACAGTTAAGATGGCGCGGGTTGCGAGTGGCGGGAAGGCACCAGCCAGAAGACTGTGCTAGCCGCACGCTTGCCACCTTCTTACTTCCTGTCCCTTTTTGAAAATACACTGTTAAAACTGAGGAGATCTGAGTTTACGGAGAGGCATCGCCGTTCCTGTCTGGCTATTCCCTGACCCCTGCCCTCAGGAAAGAAAAGGCAACTCTCTTCAAACTGGGGACGCGAACTTTGATTCCCAAAGGACCTCCCAAATCCATCTGATTTCCTCTGAACAGCAGCAGCCTCTCAGACACACTGACAGTGTCACTTCACCAGACACCCAAGACTTCTTGGAAGCGAGGAGAAATGATCATGTTTTAAAGGGACAAGAAAGCACAATGCCTCGGAGAGGAGCGCAAAGCTGCAAATTTACCTCACGCTGACTCAGTCCACACAGCAGATGGTGGCGGAGCTGCAAGGGAAACGACCTCCCCAATTTTTTAAAAATACTTCCTAATATCAACCAAAGCGCGTCTTTCGGAACAAGGCACTACGTTCCTGTGAAATCTATCCTCGGCGCCTAAGAGCTTCGTTTACGCACATGACACCGACTCTTTTGCTCACTGTGACTGTCCCGAGGGCAGCAGGCAGAGCCGGGTTCCCGGGTTCCCGCCCTCCCGCGGCCCGGCCTCAGCGGAACGCAGAGCGCGGCCCCCAGCGGCCTCCAGCCCGGCAACCCCTGGCTTCCGGCCCTGCGACCTCCAGACCGCACGTGCTCCTCCTCTTAGGCGGGAGTGGGCGGCTGGGTCGGAGGAGCGCAGCCGGGGTCGGGTGAGTGATTACACGAATGCACTCCCCCACTTCACTTGCCACACCTGCACCGTGTCTTCTACTTTTGTCCTCTTAGTTCTTAGGTGTGAGGAGGGGAAAGAAACACAAAGGAAATTCAGTCATCGCTTTTCTATGTGGCAGACAAAACTCCACGGAACGCCGTCTAGTGGCAGAATTGTCCAGGGAAGGCAAGTCGGTTTTATCCTCCCTCGAATTTTCAATTTAATTAGAAATTTGAGGCCTCTTTCCATCTGTCAAACTGCAGAGAGGACACAGGACAATGTCTAGGTGGAAGGCAAATTTAGCCCCATAACCTGAGGCTGGCACAGACTAAGCAAGAAGGTGGAACCATTTTCCGCCTCTTGCCTGGATCACCTTTTCTTGGAGACAAAAGTACAAAAGTCGCTTCTCCACGAGGTAAAAAAGCTCTGCGGACTTCACTAAGACGCAGCGCCCCCCAGGTTGGAATTTCGCATTTCTGAAGTTGTTCCCTATGTGTGTGGATCTGGCCTGGACGGGACTGGCACAAGATTCCACTACCGAAAGGACAGAGCAGTGCCCTTACTCCCATCCCAGATACCTCCCAGAAGCAGTTTTAAGCTCGGTTGTTAGAAAACGACCCTTTCGCGAGTTTGTTCTACGGGTCTTTGCCCTGCCCAATCCTCGGAAACCATCCAATCAAGAAATGTAGGCCGTTCTGTGTCTGAGTTTACAGATTCGCCACTCACCTCCAAGGCCTCGTATATACAACCATAATTTTCTAAATCTGCGGTCAACATCCTATTTTGACATGCATTTAAATTATACCCTACTTTCGGCCAACGTCTCCCGCCTTACTCTGTGAAATTTAAAGAAATTTTTAACTCCTTATTTAAAGAACCTCCTTTTCCTGCTCGCATTATTTCCAACTTCAGAGAGAATCAGATAAATATGAGAAAAGTGCATATGTTTTCCTGAAAAAAGAAAATGAGCGCAGAAAAGTGAAACTTGGCTAATAGGTAGCTAAATAATTATAAATAAGAAGAAAAAAGTAATTCCTGGAAGTACTATAAAACAAAATTAAGGGAGGATTGGGAGGTGGTTTCCATTAAACAGGCTGCCCATATTGGAGTGGGGATGGGCTAGTCTTCCTTAACCCTTAAATGTCATCACCTATAATAATTAAATCATTTTCAAACTGTAAACTGCTTTCAAACACCATAGTTAGCGTTTTTACCAGGTTTATTTTACTTGTTATACACAGACGATACAAACGAGCAAAAAACAAAACGTTTCTCAATGGAATGTGTACTTGTATAAATTATTCAGTTCACAGACAAAACGAAACAAATATAAAAATCACAACATTAGATTTACAGAAGAGCCAAAATATACACACGTTTAGACCCTGAATTCCTATTAGGAAAAATCCCCCCATGGACTGGAATCTAGATTGAATATTGTGTATGATGCATATTTCACATTAATTTTTAAATACAAAAAAGTATAGGTTTGCTACACAACATTAGAAATCCTACTAATCTATTTCCAGGGGGATTAATGCTCCTTATCAAATATAACAAGACTTAGGGGAAAATCAGTCTTACTTGCATTAACGCTAGTGTTCTCCCAAGGAAGTCAAATTTCAGCTGTTTCTAGGTGGTGGGGAAGTCATTTTCAAAACTAAAATGCAGTAAAATATACAACTCACACAATTCATCTTCACTAGACTACACTATAGTTACCAACAATTCAGTCATCTATATCATTAATAGAGTATTCATTACAAAGATTTACAGCATATAAAGGTGGAGAGGGTACTGAAAGATATTCAGAAACAGTTTGTCAGCATATTTGGCACCTGCACAGACCAGTAATGGATTTGGCACTTTGGGGAAAAACAAATAAGGCAAAATAATATTGCTGATGTCGAGCTATTCTATTTAGAAGGAAGGTGGGGGGAAACATACAACTCCAGTTGACTTTGCTTTGCAGGCATCATGCCACTTAATCGACTTGCCTATGAACAGACACCTATCCTTTAAAGGTGTTTGGGTGGATTCTCCTTAGCTATTTGTGTGCATTAGGGCACATAGTAATTATTTCATGCAACGGATTGAAAAGTGAGAAACCCATCACTATTGAGTATTTCATGTTTCTAGAGCCTCTTAGAATATTATTATCTCACAAGAAAATTAAAAGAGAGAGAGAGAAGAGAAAGTATGAGAAAAGAAAGAAAAGCAAAGAAAGGAAAGGAAAAAAAAAAGGTTAAGCATGAACTGGTTTTGTGCCTTGACGAGAATAAAAACTAGCCATTCGTTACAATAAATTAACACTATGTACAATCATTTCACAGGCTTTGTTCCACTAAAATTATTAACATCCCTACCATCCATCCAACTCCATCCACTCGGGGATAAGAAAGGACGCGCTGGGTGGGTCCAGGTTCTAGAGTCAACATCCTATGGTTAATGGGGAGGCCGAGACTTGGCGGGTCGGAATCGCTGCTGCCTGACAGGACTGCCCAGGTTTCCTAAAGGTGAAGAGTTTCATTACAAGAAAGAGGAGGAGGTGAGAAAAAGACGAGGGGAAGAGGATTGTAGGAGGATAACTCCACATAAGGAGAGCAAGTAGGAAAACCAAAAGGTTTACAGCAAAGTTGAAGGTCGGTGCGCTAATTGCAGAGACGGCTGTGCAAAAAAGGTTAAAATCACGCTCGGAGACCTGCACTTATTCGCTGCAGACGGCCATCGAGGGTCAAATAAAATGAGGGGGTGCGCAAGGAGGAGTGTGGGGAGGCGGAGCTGGGGAAGAGCTGTGAGGGGCTGGCTGGGGGTCCGGGCCTCGGCTGGGCCGGGGCAAGCAGGGGCGGCCTAGCTGTGCGAGTAGAAGCCGTAGTAGCCGCTAATGTCCTTGGCGCAGTTCTTCTCGCAGTCCCGCTGAGCCAGCACCTCGCTCTTGAGCGGGGACGAGCTCTCGGACACGGGCGTGTCGGCCGGCGAGATCCGCCTCCGCTTGGCCTGCTCGTAAATCCCCGAGTCGCTCGAGTCGATGGACTTGATCGAGGAGGGCGTCTCGATCCAGCTGGAATCGGACAGGTCCTTGGGCTTGGCGTCCTCGGCGGCGCCGGGAGGCAGCGGGGAGCGCTCGGCGGCCAGGCCCTCGGCCTCCTCGCCTAGGTAGGGGTTGGCGCCGGCCATGCGCGCGGCGGCCGCGGCGCTGTTAGGCCAGCAGGGCAGCACGGAGCCCGACTTGGTGCCGCAGTACTGCGGGGGGCTGCGCGCGCCCCAGCCCGACGGGTCGGCGTAGTAGCCGAGGGGGCGGCCGGTGCAGCCTGCAGCCTGCAGAGGCAGCGCCTTCACGCCCGCCGCGGCGTACGAGAGCAGCGTGGCCGCGTTGCCCGCGAAGTCCGTGGCCGTGTCGTAGGCCGAGGCCGCGAAGTCCAGCCGGTTGTTGGCCGGCGTCACAAACCAGCGCTGCGGCGAGGGTGCGCCCGGGTCCTCGGCCTGCTGAGGCGACAGCAGCCCGTTGGTGTGCGGCACGCTGCGGTCACTACCCGGCCCGGGACCCGCGCCCGCGCCCGGGTGGAAACGGGCCTTGGCGTAGTTGCTCACGAACTGGTCCTGCAGGAAAGAGCCGGCCATGGCGTAGCGGGCCCCGGGCACGATCTGCGAGCGCGGCGAGTCGTTGGGCGAGGGGGTCAGACGGTCCATGTCGCAGCCGGTGTAGATCCTGCGGGGTAGGGAGAGAGAGAGAGAGAGAGCCGAGGGGTGGCGCGGAGGTCCCTTGGGGTGGGGGTGGGGGCAGAAGGGAAGGCCACCTCCACTTTTCGCCCACCCCCACACCCTCTATCTACAAACTTGCAGTCCAGGATTTCCTGGAGAACACGAGAGGCCACAGACCCGTATCCTTCCCCAAAATAAATCATGGAATTATAAAGGAGGCAATCTGTCTATGCAGAAACCTGAGCAAGATACAGAACATCAAGGGAACCGCTTCCCTCTTCTCTTGTTCTCTCTCATCAGGTGTTCTGGGGGGACTGAGAGAGGGGAACAAGCAAGGGCTTTCATCCCACTTCTCCAACATGTGTACACATTAAGGCAGATTTACCCGAGGACTAAGATGCTCTTTGCCCAGTGGGCCTTTCCTCTGCGTTCAGAGTTTCTGAGTTAAAATACCAAGCAAGGTACTCACTCCTCCACCCTTTTAAGACCTCCTGTGTCCATTTGATTGTTCAGGTGATTTCTGTCCTTTTTCTAGAGTGTTTCAGAAACCCCTAGGAAAAAGCCGCGCACGGAGTAATCATCAAAGACTGGCCCTCAGCCGTGTTCTGAAACCCGAGGATTGCTGCTGGAAGCCTCCAAGGTACTTAAATGTCTTGTTTCCCCTGTGTGAACCTTTCACTCCCACCTCTACTAATACAAACAAAAATTACTACTCGGAAACAGTAGTCATCAATAAGAAATATTCTCTTAAAAGAAAAGGTCTTCTTTATTCTGACCTTTTTTTCCTAGCTTTTGATCCCTTAGCGGAAAAAACTTCGGGGCAAACCTGCAGTGTACTTATCAGCCCCCTCCATGCAATGGACCACTAATAATAGCTAACCTTTACGGAGCTTGACTATATGCCAGGCACTATGGGCTAGATAACTTTTATTATCCCACTTTACCGATGAGGAAATTGAGGCAAAAGGAAGTTAAATCACTTGCCCAACCACCGACAGTGATTGTGTTGTTGGGAATTACCTTAGATAGAATAATCAAAGATTAACTTTAGGCCCTGGGCCTAGAAAATCCCATTAGAATTGAGAGGAAACCAAGGGTTGGATGAAGATTGGTAGAAGTGTTTTCTCATACACATGCACACATGCCTCCCTTTTTATTTAGCTCACACATAAATGTTTTAATCTTTAGTCAACAGACTGTTTTGAAGGAGAGCTTCAGTCTTGTCAGACCTTAATCCTTTGGGGAGGAGATTCCCTGGTGAGTGGCCAAGCAAACTCCTAGTACCCCATGAACCTTTATACCTCTCCTTCTTTCTCCAAAATTGAGTCATGCCCAAGTAACCAACTCAAAAGGGGAAAGGGAGAGTGTCATAAACCACTCAACTCTTCCTTATCCCCTAAAAATCTCAGGGTTTTTTTTTTTGTTTTTTTTTTTTTGGTAGGGGTAAAGAAGCTTTTATGAAAAAATTTAGTGATTTAAGATCAAATAGGAGTGGCTTTTCCAACAGAAGGCAGCCGGGGGAGGAGGGGTACATGAGAGTTTTGCTGTGGCTGCTCAGGTCCATTCTGTTTAGTGCACAAAATTTCCCTCCTGAAATTGAATTCCAGTTTCAAATAAGAGAAGCAGAGGAAGGCAGGAAGGGAACACTAGCAAGGTGCAAATATCTTCTCTGTTTATCACCACAACATTTTAAAAAGAAAAAAGCAGTCTGCAAAAGGTACAGTTTAGATGCCCATCCAGGTCCCACCCACTTGGGATTACTGAATTGATTTGTGCAAAATAAAATGTTTTTGAACAGATGTTCACAACAGAATTAAAATCTCAAAATCTACAGGACTCTCCTCCAACATCTCTAGTCTCGGGCCACGTACTTTCCTCTGTGCTGAGCACACCTTTTTAGATTGTGAGGAATAGAGTAGCCAAGTTTTTATTCTGGGGAATCATATTGATGAGACTTGCTTCCTTTGGAGTACTTTTGAAGCATATATGTGGTGGTTATAGGCAGTAATATCAATGACTCTCTTTTAAATTATTACAAAGTATCAGGAGGGAAGGTTGGTATCTGCTTGGAGATGGGATAGAGGCAGTCACTTGTTTCTTTCTCCACACCTTTAATCTATGCTAATCAAAGACAGCTTCAACTTTTTAGCTCTGTCTCAGGCGCTCAATGTAAGCTATGAAATTAAGATGTATGTAGCCGTTCCTTTTATGGTCAGAGAACGTGGGGGAACCCCACAATCCAGATTTAGATTTTTAATGCTATCTGAACTCTTAGACACTATAGACTCTGAGCGAGAATTGCAGAACAAGCCCAGAAAGCATTCACTTTACACCTACTGTTGCCCCCACCCGCAGAACAGCCTTTGATAGAAAAGAGAGATAGGTAAGGGAGGCCTGAAGAAAAGGGCACCAGCATGTTTAATTAAAACACACCTAGATACAAAATAAGGAGGAAATATATTTTCTTTTGAAGTTTGCAAATAATACACAGCAACACCATCTGAATCTTTTCCGAAAGCCTAAAATGACTGTAACAGCGGTTCTGCTCACAAACTCGCCTGTGATGGGTGCACATTTTTATTCAGTCCATGGTAAACTTGCACAGTAAATGCTATTACACAAAACTTGGAAATGGGTAAATAAAAGTCACATATGCTAAGGAGACTGTTAACAACTGCCAGAGGAGCCACATCCACTTTTAGGCAGAATTGCCCGTTTCAGACATAGACAATCTGAGCTGAGCATCTGCAGCACCACATACAGCACTCGCATCCGGGAACCAGAGCAACCTCCTCAACCAGCCAGCCAGCCTCAGAAGCCCGCCAACAACTTCGTAATACACAGGAAAGCTAAAATTAGGTGGAGGAAACCTCTGATCAAAAACCACACAAGTGTACCAAGCCACAAGGTCACCAGAAAAAAGGGGAGCCAACAAAAAAAAAAAAAAAGGAAAGAAGAAAAAGAAAGGGAAAGCCTCTAAAACAATCTTGTCTTCACACATTCCAGCTTTCAAAATCCTTGTACATAACAATCCACCTTTGACCTAAAACCCAATTCCACAACTATTTGAAAAGGAAGATACAAAATTACTTACGTGTCATAGTTATCCCGAAATCCTTTTGCAAAGGGGTTGTGATCTATTTTCAGTTGTGTAATCTGACAGAGAGAAAAAAAAAATGAATGTTATCTCACCTTTTATACATGAAGACTGGGTGTTTGAGAATCTATCATCTGCCACTTTTACAGGGGCTCAAGGCCTACAATTTTATTAAATAGCAAGGCTTTCCTAACTGAAAAATTTGAGGGATTGGGTGGAAAGGAAAAAAAGAGGAAATACCATGAAAGTTATGAAGAACATGTTTAAATTAATAATGCCTATAGCTAAAGGACTGCTTTCAATGAGCTCTCCTGTGTTTTCTAAATTGATTCAAACTCACATTTTTAAAATGCCTGTTACACACAATGCACTTATTCAGACCAAAATCTTCAAGAACTTGAATTCATCACCAAATGTTGACTATTTTAAGTATTTTACATTTTAAAACGTTTGTCACTTCTGATTCACAACCTGAGAAACCACAAGTTGCATCTTAAATCAGGTTGGATTTAAAAGCATGTTTTAATTTCTGATATTATCATTTAAGTAAAAAAAAAAAAAAAAAGGCAAACACAAAAACCCCTATCATTCCTAGTAGTCAGATTAGCCACTAAAATCAGTTTTGGGAAACTTGCAAAATTGGAAGAGGCTCAAGTGCCAGAAAGCTCAATCCATAGCCCTCAGTAATTTGATTTATTCTGGTTTTCACATATATGAATGTGTATGTTCTTTTGATCTCCCAGAACAGTGATGTTTGTTCATTTCAGCCATCAGTTCTGAGACGTAAAAAAAAAAAAAAAAAGGAAAAAGAAAAGAAAAAAAAAGATTTTTTTTTAGATGCCAAAGCGTGCCAAGAATAAAATGCACGGGGAAATCTGCTTGTTTTCTAAAGGAAAAAGAGACTTAAAAAAAAAAAAAAAAGGAGATTTTAATCTGTTCTAGTTTGAAGCCCAAATTAAAACTCCCAAAAGAAGAGACTTTAGAAATCCTGGCCACCTCAAAGGTGGCCCGGGTGACCTGCGACGAAAACAAATAGCATTTTCCCACCGGCTTGGTATTTAGGAAAGGTGTGGTGCAGGCCACTAGCCCTAGCCCTAGGCCTTAAAACGCGCGGCAGAGCCAGCTGTTACTGATGTTGGCGCTGCTAGTACCCTAGCCCTGCAAGGCCGGAGGACGTCGGAAGGTGTCTGTGCCGCCCGCTGCTCGCCCAGCCCCTAGGTCTCCTTACATCGGTGTTCTGGTAGGCGGTGACAGCGATGAACTGAGTCTCTGGGAAAGTGAATGTCTGCACGCGGCCAGGCTGGCTGGTGTCCTCCGTGCCGTCCTCGTTCACTTCCACCACATGCAGGCGGGGCTGGTACTTGTGTAAGGACTGTAAAACCACCATCTGTCCAGTGGAAAGAAAGGGGAGCGCCGGGTGGCGTGTTAACGCGGTCGCTGTGCGCCCGGCTGCGCGCCCCGGCAGACAGAGGCAGCCTGCAGCCCGCCTCCCAGGCTAACTGACCGCGGGACTCGCCTGCCTGGCTGGCGGCTGGCTGGCTGGCTGGGGCAGACCGGCCTTCGCACCTCTGCGAGCAAGGATAAGCTAGGGCATCGGAGAAAAGGGGGAACCCGACCGCTCGATCCTCAGGGCCCTCCTCCTAGTCCTCCTGTAAGGAGGAGGAACAAAGATTTCCACAACCTGCAGATTTTGTGGGGTTTCCTTCCCAAAATCAATCATTATTAGTACTTGGAAAGGTCGAGCACTCCAAAATTGGGCCGACGGGGATGTTTGTCAATGAGAACAACTTTATAGATTTAATATAAATTTGGAGGGTGGAAATATAATTTTTAAGTCTTTTTAATGAAGCTAAGAAACGTGTATCCAGTTCCACATGCTGCTTTACACTGACGAACTGGATGGCAGGGAGGAAGGGGTGACAGAGAGAGAACAGGAGCGCCTGAGCCACTGACCTGCCCATTGTTATTTGAAGCTCCTTTGTTGTTCGTAAGTTTTAATTTTCCAAAAGAGATTTCTTGGCGCATCCAGTGAGCCCCAGTGTTGGGGGAATCCGGATGCATATAGACCCGATTTCCTAGAGGAAGAAATACGTTGTTTACAAATGCCCCTGGCACTGCCCAGTCCCAGCTCCTCACCACGTAGGACACACACACACACACACACACACACACACACACACACACACACACCTTACTCCACTGTGAGGCCCATTAGCTGGGGCTTTTTTAGGCCGTTCTTTCTTCCTATTAACTGGGGGTGATTAAAATAGCTTTTGCATAATCCTCCCCCTTCTCGCAGCTCAGTCTGTCCCCCTGTCCCCCTCGTTTCCTTTTAGAAGTCACTGGCCGATCGTTTTAAAAGTCGCTCGAGCCAGTCCACAAAGGCTTTAATTAATCATTCTCACCTAAATAAGTGTCAGGAAAATGTGTTAATTGGAAGGACTTGCCTTGCACATTGGTGTCCGCTTTGCCGCAAGGAACCCATTTGCCTCCTTGAAACCTCCAGTGATTGGGATCCGCCAAAATCACATCCACAAAAATATTGTAATGAGCCGTGGGATCGAGACCAGAAATGTTAAAACTTAAAAAAGGAAACATGCGCCTATTTAAATTAAGGGGTGGGGGGAGAAAACAAGGAAAAAAGAAACATAAATGTTAAAGATTAAATGCAAGAAGCGGGGCGCCAGATAGCAAAGCAAAACTTGTTCTTGCAGCAAATAGGGGCGAATATTTACTAGGTTCGAAAAAGGGTGGTGGGAGAAGAAAAGAAGTGCGACCCAAATCAGGGAGAGCGGCGGGTGAGCTGGAGTGGGAAGGCGGCAGGTATCACTTCCCAGGTGGAGAGCGAGGTTGGCGACCTGCATGTCCACCTGTCCGTGCATGCTAGTGTTGATGCGTCCCTCCCATCGCCCGGCCGCTGGCCGGGGCTCTTCCTTTTTCTTGCTTTCCTCTGGCCACTGACTGGCTCTCCAACCACATTACTAGAACTGGAGTCCCCCCCACCACCATCACGGTAGCGGTTATCCCTTCCACTTTCCCCCTTGCCAAAGCCAGCCAACTCTAGGTCGCCTTCCACTCCACTCCCGACCCCAAATCGTCGCTGCCGCGGCAGTCACAACCTAGGTGCACTTGTTCCCGGCTGCGCCTGGAGCAGTGGCAGCCAAAAATGTAGTATTACCTTCCCTGTTTGGTGATGATCATCTCCGTTTGGTGCCGGTGAAATTTCAGCCAAAGGGGCCTGTTGCACAGGTACACCTGTGCTTTGCCCGGCACCAGCCCCGGCTGGGTGGAGGAGAACTGGTAGAACGGAGCTCCTTGGTAGGAGTGGCCGTACTGCTGTGGGTAGGGGTAGCCGGCCGTGGGGTATCCCTGCGGTGAGGAGTTGGACAGGAGGCTGTTGTAGGCTCCGTTGGTGATGACCGGGTGGTGGGCCATGTAGCGGCTGGGGCTGCCGATGGAGAAGGCGGGGTGCGCCGGTCCGTGCTGGCCGGGGTACGGGAACATGGCACTGGGAGCAGTGGCCGCAGACTGTGGCTGGCTGGACTGAGAGAGGAGGTAGCGATCTGCAGCAGAGCCATCGAAACTGTGACGAAGCTCAGAGACCCCGTCCAAGACAGGAGAGAGTTTACTTCTCTGGACGTCCCCTGGTGAGTCCTTGGAGTCAGGAAAATTGTCTGTATCTGACTGATTCGTCATCCCCCTGGTAATTTTTTTCAAAGGTGAACTTCTCTCCAGGTTGTCAGTGGTCGAGATAATGGGATGATCGTGCAAGACAAGCTCGGATCCGCCTGAATGTGGGTAGCTGCTGCTCACATTGAGAAATTTCTTGGAGAGCATGATAGAAGGAGAAAGGCAGTGCTCCAGCTGCATAGCTCTAGAACCTGAACACTCGCCCTCCCGTCCCTGGTTTTTAAAGTCCTATTTATCATAAACTAGAAATCCACAGACCCCCTCACTAGACAGAAAGCACTTCAACCAGCAAATGCTTCTCAAAGGTTTGATTTACTTTTTTTTTTCCCTGGGAGAAGAGATTGGCCAATTGACACTATGCAGCAATCAGAAAAGGCTCACTTTTGATCTTGCTGCTTGTGCAGCCGATGAAACGGCTCTTGCCATTGGTTAACTGCTGACAGTAATTTAATTAGATAGACATTAATTAGGATAATCACCTGGCTCCTGGTAGCGACGATCATGGCAAATTGAAGGGGATGATTTTATTGTTGGCTTGGGGGGTGGGGAATGTGTGTTGGTTTACGTGAGCACTGTTGTGTCACCTTTAAGCTTTGTGACCACTGCTTTAGGAAGATTCAAAGATGTGCAATTTACTAAACATTTCCTACCTTCCCCCCCTTTCCCCCTTTAGAGCGGAGGGGCGGAGGAGGGAATTCGACGATGCTAGGAGACTTTTCGGATCTGAATGAGCCAAATATTCAGTTGAATGTAACGATTTCAAGTGCAAAGTATACAAAGCGCGAGCCGGTGGCCTCTTCTCGCCCTGTAAAAGTTCCAGAGTCTGTCTTTTCCAGCTAATACAAAAGCACACGACACCTGAGCTGGTGCTTTGTGAGCAGGTCCTACCTGTCCTCGGCGGCCCCGCCCCCACCTTTTAAACTGCAAACATAAATAAATAAATCCCTGCTGCTGAGAACCACAGCGATAAGCAGGAGGGGGGAGAAGAGGGGGCGAAAAGCAGCAACTCACCCACCAATCCACCCACCTCAGGAAGGCTCGGTTTCTTGGTTGAGCACAGAAACAGTGGCAATCTATGATCTCCTTTTTAAGTTTTGAAATAATCATAAGCTGTCGGGCTGAAACGCCTTAATGTATTTGCAGTGATGTTTACCGGGTCTTTATTAAATATTTTATCAGCGAACTTGGTTGCAGATTATTTGAAGAGCATCTAACTGGGGACAGGCGCCATGCATCTTTTTCGTCCCTCTGCATTTCCTTCTCTCTGAGGTACTGGCTTGGCGACAGGTTCAAAAGCCTCGCCAGAAAAATAGAGGGCCGAGTCCCCGTGCAAATGGGCTCGTCAGAAGCGCTGATCTGGGGAGACAGAGTGGAAGTGGTGTCAACACAGTAATCGCTACTGAAGACGTGTGTGTGTGTGTGTGTGTGTGTGTGTGTGTGTGTGTGTGTGTGTGTGTTTAATGTTTATATAATCTGGAGGGAAGAAAAAGCATCCATGCCAGTAATTTTAAAAGGAAAATGAATCTAAGGAGGAATAGAAAAAAAAGAACCAATTTAAAAGGAGGTTGGCACAAATAAATAGCACGAGGCCCAAAGAGACCCTGATGTGTAGGGAGGAGGTCTTCCAGCACCGGCTCTACAGAGGAGCCCAGCCCTCGGCCTGAACCAGAGGGCCACGAGCGAGCGGCAGAGGGTTTTTATCCGCCCAAACCTGCCTCTCGCAGCCCGGCGCTCGCTGACCTGCCCTCCCGCGGCTTTCCTCCCGGACGCTTAGCCGCGCGGGAATTAGCAGGAGGAGCCAGATCTCCGCTCGGCCCCGAGAGCTGGCGAGCCCGAGGGCGGGCTCCGCCCGGGGGACTAAGAGAACGCAGGGTGAGCTGCGTCTGGCGCAGACCTCAGGGGCACACGCTCTTCCCGTGCTGGGGGCGCGGCCTGGGCACTTCAGCCAGGGGAGCCTCTGGCTTGGCCCGAGCGCGTCTGTCCTCCCCAGGCCGGGGCCGCTCCCGGAGGAAGAGCAGCTCTGGGAGACATCGGTGGGTCCTGAACATGGGCGGAGACGGGTTAACCAAACTCGCCGCTTCGCCACTGTGGTGCATTTTCAGAGCGGCGCCTCAGTGGGCCGAGCGGTCAACGCTGAGCCGAGACTGCGCCCCTCGAGGCGGGCTGGGCGCCTTGGCTGCAGAGGGCACCAGCTGCGGCCTCCATCAGGGCGCCGCGGGCAAGGCCCTGCGCAGGCGGCCTGGGCAGGGCAGGTTGATGACCAGATGTCCCAGACTAAAGCCGAGACAATTTTCTGGGATAAAAAAGAAAGCGAGACCCATTTTTCCTTTAGAAAGCAAACCTCAGCTCCTGGCCAGGAAGCTTCATAAACAAGCAGTCTTAGCCCGTTGACTCGGGGGTGCGGGGGAGGGGAGTAGGGAACACCATTTGACACTTGTTTTCCTTCCTTGACCTTCTACCGCCATTTGCCTTTATGAGAGGCTTTTGACTTCTTACTTTTGGCTACTTTTGTTTCCTTCTTTCTTCCATCTTCAACTTTTATGTCCAAGAGTGCTTCTCCCTCCTTGGCTTCGAAAGACAGTACTTTCCTCCGTTCTCAGTGGGATGGAACCTTAAGTGTGTAAAGAGGTGAGACATCATCTGGGCTCTTTTTGAGGCTTTGCCATTCTCAATACCCTAAACTGCTTAAAAAAAAAAAAAAAAAAAGAAGAAGAATGCTAAAATGAAATGTTAGGGTGTTAAAGGATAGAAAAGGCAGAGTGCACCTTCTTCAGAGTTTTTAAGGAATTGAATTAATATGCTTCTGACCCACTTTGGATTATCAATACTAAATACAGTGATTGCTCACATATAGGCTATGCCTTGAATTTATATGTGCTAAAGAAAATGAAGGCTTTCCTTAGAATCACCACACATGCCTGTGAACCATACTTCCAAAGACCAGGGCTTCTCAAACCTTAAAGTGTGTATGAGCCACACCACGTTTCTTGATTGTGATTCAGTAGGCCTGGGGTGGGGCTTGCTTTCTGTATACATAATGAGTTTCCATAAGACCCAGATGCTATTGGTCCAGGCAGATCACGCTTTGAATAGTGAGGCCAGAGCTTTTCAGTCCCCATACTACTCTGTTTTTCTAACAGGGACATTTCTGCACTACAGACAAATAGTTTTGTTTCCAGAGCTGCTTTACCTCTGCATGGTGGAGGGGTAGATAGGTTCACATAAGCAGGCCTGCATGTGTGTGCTCACACACATACAGTCTTAAACAGCTTACTGAGTTTGTGATTTAACACATCTTTTCAATGCCTAACTGGGCCTGGGACATCAGGCTGCTGCGAAAATAGCTGTAAAAAAAGACAGAGGTGTTCAAGACAAAAGGTGTTCACTGAGCTTCCCCTCAGGGCATCCTGATTTTGATTGACTCCAAATCTACAAAAAGTAATGTAGGTTTTTGCTAGGAAATATTTAGACAAGGTTCTGAAATTGGGAATGTCACCAACATGAACCAAGTGACAGTATGTGGTGTGTGACTCTAGGGAGTCCAGGAAGATAGGGTGATCAAATAAGGGCAAAAAACAGGCAAGGTTAGCCTCAGGATATTTTCAGAGGACTAAATGGGGGAGAAAAAAAAACCTTTTAATCCAAATATTGAGAATAGCCTTGAAATACTAAGGCCTTCTTCTGAGGACACACTGTACCCAAAAAAATAAAATTGACTAGCATTAATTAACAACATCTGTGAAATAAGTTATAGAACCTTATTTGTAAAGAGAAAAATCATATTCAAAAAGTCTGCACACATTTGAATGAAGCAAAAGAAAACTTCACTAACTTCCACTTGTATTTTAATTTTCAAAATGTAATCGCAACGACTTAATACATATTACATGTGCTACATAGGATATACTATCACTATATCTGAAACAAGAAACCACAGCACAAGCAAGAAATGCTCAGAATACCTCTTGGTCCACCAAAAAAGATACTGTGAAACATACTGGGAATTTAAGCCATTTCTACTTTCAGTTTCTGGTGACTTCGGTAGGCAACCAATAAGAGCCTAGACTTGTTCCAGTAGGACAGTAATTTCATCTATCACAGCACTCATAACACTTCTAGTAGATTAAGTTAAATTCCAAGTCCCCACGTAAAACCTTCTTTTAATGAAGCCTTAGTAATATTCTCACCGTATTTTCACAAGCAAGGGTTGCAGACTAGAATTAGATCTTTGTCTCCGTATCTTTTGCCATACTCCTTGGTATAACCAGTATGGTGCTGAGCCATAACAGGGACAGTTACTTTTGTACATCACATTAGAAGTAGGTTGAGAGATAAAGTCATCTATAAAAACTGCTATTAGCCATTTTTTTTCTTTATTAGAAAACTGGATAGTCCTAATTTAGAAAACGTGAGACCAAACAATTACAAAATTATTGCTTATAAATTCATATTAAACTCACATTATGCCTACTTTTCTCATTTTGCTTTTTAGACGTTATATACTTTCTGTGGTTATTTTAGGTGAAAGTCCAGTAGAGTTTGCAGCAGCCAATTCCCAGTTTCAAAACTGCTGGTAGAATGTACTCTTTTAAAACATGATAAAGTATAAATTAAAATTGCTTCCCTTTTTCTTTGTAAATGTACTCCTCCAAAATCCTAAAAGTATACTATGTTTATAAGATATTGAGTATACAATATTAGCTTATGACAAATGCTAACAAAATGTCAACAATTTTTTCTGAGTTACTCACTAATCAGATAGCCACTCATTAATGTAAATCATTATACATTTGTGAAATTTCGTTATCACACTGATGTTTTATGTGTCATAAGATCTTAAAATGCAAAGGGAAATATATCTTTGTGTGAGATTTCTAGACCACTATCAAATGTTATTTCATCAATCCCACCCATTGTCAAAAAGACCTCAGGAGGCATAGATTGTAAATGTATTTTATTTTGTAAGCAACAATCAAAATATATTTGTGCTACTGATTTTTTCAAATATTAAATGAGATCTTAACAAAATTTATCCACTTTGATGTATTCATGTATAAGTTTAGAATCTGCAAAGACCCTGACTAAAGAAACAGAAGTAATTACACAACTGAGACTGAAGGTGTTACAGTGCTGCAAATGATGCCAGATGTCTTATATTTAACCAAGTACACCTTCAGAGGTCCCTTGATTTTGAGCATTAGGAGCAACAGAAGAATATACACTGAAAGCATCACTAATAGCGTTTTTCGTTGCTTTATTTAAATACGACAGTATCCAACATAGCTGCTAAACACTGGACAATATTTGAAGTCATAAGTACATCCACATGTTCCTCCAAATGACGTTTGGGGTCCTAAAAGAACAAAAGTAAGGAAAGAAAGAGAAAAAAGAACCATATTATTGGTAGATAAATTACTTAAAATTGTTTCAGTAGCTGATGAAACTGGTAAAGAAAGCCAGACCTAACTTACCACATATTTTACAAATTTAACTTTACTAGTATATCATTACATTCTTAGAATTTCTAAATCTGTTAAAAAGTTGCACAGCTAATAAAATAATAGATTACACAGTGAAAGCTTGATTTACACATGCAATGACTCTGTACCAGAGATTTTTATAAGGAATTCTATACAGCTCACAATCTGATTTTTTTAAAGTTCATTTATATACCTATACCTGTCTGAATATATGTGTGTATTCTCTACTATCCATATAGTTTGAATGTCTGAGGGAATGCTTAATTCAAAGTGGACATACCAATAGGTAAGAGTTCAGTGTGAATTCTCAGCACTTCTTCTAGGTTTTATAATAGCAAAACTCATAATTCTGTACAATTTTAATATTTCAAGAGTAGTGCTTTAAATGATTCAGAAAATATTCTTGGATCAAAAGTTACTGTTTGTAGCTGAAGAATTTAAATACAATTTGGATCAATTCTAAAATGTTAAGAATGTTTCATGCAGCTATTTTGAAAAAAAATGTATCATAGAAAATTATATAGGTGCAATCCTTTAACTTAAACCTGATCAAATCTATTTTCGAAATAGACTGAGTTAAAAAGAAGGCTTAAAATTGTATTGAAATAAAGGAATTTAAATTAAAATGTTTAGTATGTATTTATGTTTAAAGTGGAATTAAGTATTTGGGCAAAATTTGAAAGCTTTGAAATAAGGGATATATATTATACACAATAGAAAAATTGTAATTTAAAGGATTATATTCTTAAATGGCTATTGTTAAAATATCCAAGACTCCTAACTTTAAACAATGTTCCATTACTGTAATTAATTCTTGGCAGTGCTTTTCTAACCCTATTGTAATACACTATTCTTTTAAACAACCCAGAGATACAGCATGTTACAAATAATTTCAAGTGACTAGACTACAATATATTTTTTATTTCAGAAATAAGTCTAGGGCATTTTAGGTGAAAAAGACTGAGAAAGACTGGCAGGAGAAAAAAGATATTGGTTTAATTCCATTACAGACAGTTTTGTTTTTGCCATGCAGTAGGCCAAACCAGTGAGGTAATAACTATATTTTTAAAAATGACTCTGATGATTATTAAACTTTGCCAATTACATACTTTTCAGTTTCATTTTTAATTTAGACCTTTCATTTGCTGCTTTAAATCTATATCAAGAAACTATGGCCTCAGAAAGGCATTTATTCAAAAAACAGTCACTGAATTCTATAAGTATAAAGGCTCCAAGTTGGTGATCTAATATTATGATTAAAATAAACAGTGGAAAAGATAACAAGGGTGATATCACATAAGATGAGAAAATAAAATGAATTATATTTCATTTTGCTTTTGGGGGTATTTGTTTTTAAATTATAATACTCAGAATGTAGTGAAATTTGATTTTCTCATTTATGACATATGATAAAGTCAGACCTTTGCCCCTACTGCTCTGTTGGAGTTATTCATTTTATAGTGAATTGGTAACATGCTTCCCTCAGTTATCTACATTACTTCTTGTGGCAGCTGGGTGATTCTTAGAGATTTCCCATCCAAGAATGGTCCTGGCCCAAACCTACATAGCTTGTGAGATGTGATGGGATCAGAGCATATGGTAGGATGGCTGAAAGCAAAGACAGCTTAGTGTCTTGCATCTGAAATATCAAGATTCTGCCAACATCAGCAATATGATAACCATGTTCCATGAAATGGGGAAAAAATGTAATCAACATTCTTTAAAAAACAGTCTAATTAATCTGTAGATTCCTTTAATTGGTTGGTGTCTTCCCCCACCCTCAGATAATAGAGGCTAAAATATATATTTCATTTTAGAAAAGTGAAAGAGCAAATACTTAAAGCCCTTTCTCTTCACTCAGTATAACCCAATAAAGGCTCTAACCTTTCTCAGGAACATTACCTACAAATTGATGAAGTATAAAGTACATGATTAACAAAACCTGTTACATATAAAATAAATCTATCCTTCTATTGTTTGCCTGTATGTAAAAATAATACTTGCAAAATTAATTCAGGACACGTGTCCTCATTTGTTTCTAATAAATTATTTTCAACAAAGATAGTATCTCATAGGTATTTGTGATTTACTTCTCCATAGATGGCAAAGAGAACCTGACCTTTACAATTAGTATCACATTTATGTGACAGAAGAAAAAGGCAGAATGGACAGGAAAAAAAATTATATAGGCCCCAAAATGGTTTTAACTCTCTAAGAACATGTTATTATGCAACTGCACAACTTATTAACAGTACACCTCACCTGCTTGCCAACATTCTTTATTGCCAGCTGTTCAGGTGTCATCTTATCTTCTTCTTCTACAGCCTGTGAATGAAACACAAAGGACAGAGTTTAAAATTATAAATTCTCTATTCCCACTGCAGAAAAAAATCACCAAAGACAATAATGATCAGAATGTTCATTCACAGAACTTTTATTCAAATAATTTACTGAACAAGTAAAATTATGCTAAACTTCAGAATAACCTTCAGGGCAATAAAACAATCAATATCATCATTTTAAAATAGACAAGAAATAAATAGAAGGCACTGAAATATCAAACAGGATAACTAAATGGTAGTGTTGACCATTTGCAAACTGTTATTGAATTCTTCAGGAGATGGCAGACAGCACCTGAGGTGGCACCTATGGAACTGCAGTACTAATTCTGTTCTGTTGCCCTCTCCTTTTCCTGTTTGCACAGTTCTTTCCCAAATTCCTATTTCTTTGTCTCCTTTTTTCTTATCAATCCAGCCTGCCCATAGCTTCAGTATCTATTTAACTATCAATGGCACTTAGGATCAAAGAAGCTACTGACTTTTGATTCACTAAACAAATCGCATGGTTTTCTCTCTTAGTAACTTCACATCTTTAAATCTGTAAAACTAATACATGTATTCAGAAAAAAATCTGAAACTACTACACTGAGTGATCTTTAGTAACCATGAAGAAATAGTCAACTGAAGTTTTCAACAACAAAATTACCTGAATTAAAAACCAAATATAATCAAAATTAAATTAACCCAAACAATACACGAAAACCACTTTCCACTACTTTCAGAGCTAGCTACAAACTCTTCTATGTATGATCATAACTTTCTGGCAGAGCAATTCTGAAATAATCATAACACTTAAATTAGCTAACTCTACTGCCCTCCTCTCCCAATAATGGCACCAATATAAAACCTCTTTATTTAGAATTTTGCACATAAGAAATCTTAACAGTTTCGGTATATTAGGGCCTGAAAACAGGACTCTGTATCAGGTGAACTTTTTAGTCTATGATTTATTCATAGCATCTGATAAATGAAAAAAACCATGAAAATTTAAGGATCACTAACCTTAAGAAATGCTACCACAGCATTTACCACAAAGAGAGTTATAAAAGGGGGTGAGATGGTGGTGGCAGAAAGCAGGGAACCAAAATCCCAGTGAGGGTTAGATTTGGATACTCTAAACTTAATAATCTCACAGCTGCCAAATTTCTTCATGTGCGAACAATGAACATGTAGGAAATGTAATCATCAGACATTCCCCATAAACTGGGAAGTTTGGCTGCATTTCACACCTTCTTAATAGTTTTGTAAACAGAGAACTTGAAAATGAGCAAAGATGGCAAGTGTCTAATTTTATAAATGGACAAACTATCTAGAGAATTTTCCCCAGTAGAACCTGCCTAAAGAGAAAAGATAGTAAGTATTGTATCTACTGATTATCAGAGGATACTTATTTACAACACATCATTAGGAAATGCATTTATGACTCATAAACCGAAAAGAAAAAGTAAAGTTAATAACATCCAAATCTAGAAATCCCTAGACAGAGAATATGCTCATTTTCAGAGTCAGATGTCATTCCATTATTTTCAGTTATAAAAGTATTTCCTAACTGGGAAATTGCTTCCCCCACTATTCAATGTTTCACATAAATGGAAACACTGACAGAACATATTAAGAGTATGGTTTTCTAAATTACTTTCACAAATTGTGATACTATACTTTATTGACTTAAAAGCATGTAGATGAATGGAACAATTCACATAAGTTTGGACTCCATACCCATTCAGTGTTAGTTGTTCTTTGTACATGCCAACAACAGTACTTACTATACTGTTGGAAGGAGGCAAAAATTTTGGAATTTGGCTCAAAATACTAATCCATGTACAAAACAGTTATTAGGGAGTATTGTGGAGTATTGCAAACAACAAAGATGGTAGATATACATGAACAATGAAGGTCAAAAAGCACTTGAAGTACTGATCTTATTTGAAAAAGTTAAATAGGTATAAAAAGCGCTAATTCAAATTTTAAAAATCTTTTACATCATTTACCCACTTTACCAATTAGTTTTTCCATTCCCAATAATTAAAAGAGAGAGTTCACAAACTCTTTGAGAAGTGCAGATGGTAAAAAGTACTCCCAGCCATAGATGCCATCTGGGAAATGAGGAGCAGCTGTAGATTTAGGCATATACTAAGGTTGCAAACCCCCATGACAAAAGAGTAAGCATATCTCTTCCATTCTAAGATATTCCAAATCAAATGCCTAAATATTTTCTCTATCTACCCAAGTTACCTGTATCTCATCTACCATCTGGGCAAGACCAGTCTGTCTTCATTCACAGTTTTAATCTGGCTAGTCACCAGGAAAAATGTAAGAAATGGTTGCAGCAGAAACAAATGAAATTCAGGCACAGGCAGTGTCCTCACTAGGGAACTTCTGTGTTTATGGCAACTTCTGTGATTTGGCATCAAATTTTGCTTTTGCATTCGTGCTCTTCGGTTTACTCAACCAACAAAAAAGCACTGAAAATGTTTGTGGCTATTCACACAAGAAACGTTTTTAACAGTTTATCAACAAAGACCCCCAGATGGCTATCCCATCATGCACGGTCTGCACAGTTCTAAGAAATCCTTGGAATTTGGTCTGTTATATGATCATAATCCCCTCCAATATACCCCCTATCTCACCAAGGCTTTTACTAAACCCATTAACCTCCTTCTTTTTTCTGCAAATGGTCAAGTTTCTCATATGGAAAATCTGTATCTCAAATTTCATCACTTTATTTACCTTTTACAAACATTGATGGGATCTTTGGCACTTCGCTAACACTCTTAGGATCTTCAGGAGGCCAATTCCAATGGACTTTTGTTGTTGTTTTGTTTTTTGTTGTTGTTGTGTTGTTGACTTTCTGAACATGCTTGGAGCTACTCCAACATCTGTTTTCTCTTCTATTCCCTTAGCCTTTGCTATTGCCACCCTGTCTCTTATTCCACCTTAAGCTTCTTTCACTATTCCTTGGGTTTCTTTTCCCCACATTAACATGTTAACTTTGTTCACACTATAACATGCCATGATCCCATTTAAATATGTGCTTTTTAATATCACCATTATGGCCATTTTTACATAAAACAGCACAAACTGCTAAAATGGCATATACTAATTTTTCACTATTAAGCAATCAATTAATAGCTGCTAGTGGATTTCAAGACAATGTATTTTACTTCTTTCATGATTTTTTAAGATATTGACTATATAAACAACATTACAGGTTACAGGGGTTAATAATAAGTTTAAAGAAATAGCTTTGATAAAACATACTTGAGAAAGCAAAATTAACAAACATGAAGGAATTAAAATGTTGAGAAGGTATAAAAAGATTACATATATGAAGACATTAAAACTAGTTTTTCTACTACCATCACTAATTAAATATCAATACTAGACATGTCTACAAATATTAATTTGCTGAATCCTTAAACCATCTCAATAAAGAAGTTAATCTAAACTTCATATTGTTAATTCTAACAAAATCTCTAACATAAAAGGAATTTTTCAAACTCTTCTTGCTCTCAAGGAGCTCACATTTGGGATTTACTGGCCCAAAGTCTCACATCATGATGCAGTGTGAAACATACAAAAAAGTAGTGTATACAAAGCATGATGGGGATATAAGGGTTAACTGAATGGAGCTAACTTCTTCTTGTGGATCACCCGGGGAAAGAGAGACAGGGTCGGTGGGAGGGGCGGGGGCAAAAAAATTTTTTAAATAAAAAAATAGAATGCATTAGGGAGGAGCACATCATGTGATACTTAGTAGTAACAGGGAAAAGAAAAAACCATGGGAGAATGGCTGAATAGGGAGAAGAGTCAAAGTTTCAAGTCTACATGATACCTAGAAAAATGAGTGTCAGTTATAACCAAGTTGGTAGAGGGAACTGTCATGAAAAAGTAAAAAGCAGGGTAGATAATACTGTTACTATTGAACAGCAGCATTTAAAGTAATGACATTAAGTGGAAAGGTCTCAAACAGTGGAGATGAGAATACATTTCAAATGAGAGGAAAGGAAGAGATTTCAAAGTTGTTGGCATTGCTAAACCATGAAAACAGACTTTTAAACACAAGGAATAAAGAGCAAAAAGGCAAGGGTTGAATCTTGGAAATGCTCATAGCAAAGGTACAGCAAAGGCAGCAATGCTAGCTAGCAAAAGCAGCAGAGTGTAGTTGCCAAAAAGTCAGGAGAACCATGGGAATGTATGGCCATGGAAGTAAAAAGAAGAGACTTCAGAAGTTCAAAGGTACGATGTGAAGGCACGAGGACAAGGAAGATAACTGAAAGAGATGTAAGTGTCAGTACACTAAGAAAATAAATCAGTCATCTCTTTTAATAAGCTGGAAACAGCAAATTGTCATCAGCACCGTACTCTTGTCGTGAAACGGTTATGCCTCCAAGAACACTGGAGGCAGGCTGAAGGAAGTGATCAACGACGTAGGAGGTTATATTTTATCCAGTTGGCCACAGGAAAGGAGAGGAGCAAAGTGTGCCATGACAGAGAACAGTTAAAGATTAAGAAAAAGGGTGCCCTTTAGAGGACATTGCATTTCTTTAAATTTTAGATGCTTATGTTAATATTAATAACTAACAGTGCTTATGATTGGCCATTTAATAAAGTTACATTTTTGGTAGAAAAATATAAATATAGCATAATTTCATTCATTCAACAAATTCTTATTGAGTATTTACCATTTAACTGGCAGTGTACTAGAGTTAAATGAGATGATACCTGAATTCACAGAGCTTATAGACTAGCTGTAAAACCAGGAAATTAAAAAGTAATAATTAGACTGGGCATAGTGGCTCACAACTGTGATAATCTCAGCTAACCAGGAGGCTCAGTGGGGGAGCATCTCGAGGCCAGGAGGTTGAGACCATCTTGGGAAACACAGCAAGACTTTTTATCTTAAATTAAAAAAAAAAAAAAAAATAGCCAGGTATAGTGGTGAGTGCTTGCAGTCCCAGGTACTCAAGAGGACTGCTTCAACTC